ACAGTCTGGAACTTCTCTCCAGGCAATAAGCTGGGGCACACCTCATGTCCCATTATCATGGATGATTTTCCAATGTCTGACATCTTGCAAACGGTTGTTCTTATAAATTGTTTCTGGTAGAAGGGCAAATCCTGTCCTCACTACATTAGGTCGGTCATAAGCAGAAGTTTAGCTTTATCCTTTAGATACAAAACTTTGATTCTATCTATTATTTAAAACCCTCTAATGTGCCCCAATGGCCTTAGCATAAAAACTGAAATTTCATGACATGTTCTAAAGGAACCTCCATGATCTTCCTCTGCTTACCTTTCAGCTGTGCCACAGGCACTCATCCTCTTTCTTTGTCCTTCCACACACTTCCACTTCACCTCACCCCCTGCTTCATGCTAAGCTCTACCTAGCTTTAAGATCTAAAATTAAATTTTGCCTCCTCAGAGAAAATGTCACTAACACCCTAGTCTTCTCCTTCCATGCCTTTTGTTTTAGTCACATCAAAACAAATAAAGTTACCCAAAATAGAAACTCCGGTATTTCTCATTGCCATGTCTTTGTCCTTGCTAGAATTCTATTTGTGCTTTGTCTGCTCAGATAGTTCCTATTTGTACTTTAAGAATCAAGGCAGGATCACCACCTCTTGAAAACTTTCCATTCTCTCATTTTCCTCCCCAGTCTGAATTACATATCTCCCCCCATGCTTTCTTAATACCCTCTGGATACCTCCACTACAGTGCTTTTCAAACTCTATGGAAAGAATTTGTTTCCTTGCCCTTCTAACTGGGTGTAAAAATAGGGTCTATAGGTTCTTCTCTGTACTCCCAGAGCCTAGCAGAGTGCCTTGCATGTATCTACCTCTCTTTCATCTTTTTGTTTGTTGGTTGGTTGGTTTTTTGTTTTTGTTTTTGTTTTTTGTTTTTTTGTTTTTTTTTTTTGCTAATGAATAAATGGCTGTACAAGGCTCTTGCCCCTGCTAAACACTGATATGAGGTTGTGTGGACACTGGCACTTTACAGGGAGAGCTCTGCCCCTGGAAAAAAGAATCACATTAATCAAGCAGAACAAATCATATTGGATGCTATGGCCAATGCAATTAAGCCTTTGTCAAACTGCCTGACTTTGGCTCAAGATGAGAACATTGATGAAACGCCTCTCAACTGCCTGGGTTGGGGTCTGCTGAAATGGGCAATTACTGCAGTGAACAATCCATTACTTGTACTGTCAACAGTGTGCTTTTTCTCTCTAAATGCAGAATGAAGTGGAAAATGCTATGGAAACTCAGTGGCATTTAATTTACTGATATGATGTGGTAGGAGCCATTCTTTAACCTGACTGTAACAGCAATAGTGTGGGGATAAGTATGAGGTTGGAATGCATTGAGGAAACCGTTCTAAACATCCTGTGCCTCACTCTTCCCGTATGTAAAATTAGTCTGATGGAAGAGAATGCTTGTCACACCATGGTGGTTACTATGGTGATCAATGACTGAGATGCAACATTGTACTGCCCCTAGCCATGCCAATTTCTTTAAATTCTGCTTGTTATTCCATAGAGGGAGAAATGACTGGCAGGTCTCATTTTATTCTTTAAATTGGGAAAGTTGCTAGCAAGGCATGGCTTAGAAAGGACATCATACTGGGGCACCTAGGCAACTCAGTTGGTTGGGTGTGTGACTCTTAATTTTGGCTCAGGTCATGATCTCGCAGTTGTGAGGTCGAGCCTGGTGTAGGGCTCTGCGCTGACAGCATGGAGCTTGCTTGGGATTTTCTCTCCCTTGCTCTCTGCCCCTCCCCCTCCACACTCTCTTTCTCCCCTTCTCTCTCTAAAATAAATAAATAAACTTAAAAAAGAAAGACCATCATACTGGCATTTTGTGCACATAACCCTGGGCTGCCGTGCCAGGATATTCATTCTCAGTGAGGAACAGGGCTCCTCAACCTCTCTATATTGTGGTGCACATAGAAACATGTGTAGTGCACACTGGGGTTAGTGGATGAGATGTTTATAGCCAGAAGGGACATGGCCTGGGACTTTAGCTCAGGTCCTGCTCGGGTGCTCCAAGGCTCAAGGAGGTCAGAATCTTGGTATACTTCTGACCTGTCTGGCACATCAGTTAGGAAGTTCTGCTGTGGGCTCAGTCAACCACTTCGCCACTACAGTGGCTGTGTCTCTAGCTAGAGGCTACCAATAAACACCATCAGATGAACTGAAACCATTCTATGAGTATAGTTGCTTGGGAGGTAATTGTTGGGGGCAAGAGGGCTGGCACCAGATAATATTGCTGCAGAGCTCCTTTAGTATAAAGACAACTAGTTATTCACCATGGGGCAGAGTTGTAAAAACAGAACTTATCTTGGTTAATTTAAGCAAACTCTTAAGCACTTACAGAGTCAGTCTTGGAGGCTCAATAGCCAAGGCAGTGCCAACCCCACCCACGAGGCTCCCTTGGTGCAGATCTCATTGCTGCTGGAAATAAACACTATCCAGAATGAGGCTGGACACTGGACACCAGATTTCCACCTTATACTTACTGATGACTGGGCCCTGGGCACCATAAATCTACCCTGCACCCACTGATGACTGGCACTGGACACTAGAAGTCTACTCAGCACCCACTGATGACAGGGCACTAGACACCAGATGTCCACCCTCCTGCCCCTGAAAAGCTGGATGTTTTCACCACTATCTTCTCTCTTAAAAAGGATCCACACAGCCCCTCATGTTTGTGGCTTCTGAATGTAAGTCACATGCAAGCATGACTACCCTAGCATTTAGGTCATATGTCTGCCCCTTATCTACAAGGTGAGCTGGACTGGCAGGGCCAGCCTTCTACCATGGTGAGGTGGGATTCATACACGAGATAAAAGCCCCATGTAATGATGCTGATCCAAATCAGCCTGTGGGTCACAGTGTGCCAGCATCCACTGCACTTTGCAAAACTACATGTCATTGTCTTCCACCATAAACCAGTCCCTTCTGGTTTCTTCTAGACCAGGGCATGCCATCGTCATTCTCCCAGTCACTAGTCCAGAAACTTGGTAGCTGGACTTGGTTCCTTCTTCTGTCTGAGCATCAGCCCATTTCCAAGTCATAACCATACTGACTCCTAAATGTCTTGTCATTTGCCTCAATTCTGCATCTCCCTGTGACCTCTCACCTGAGGACAGCAACACCTTTCTAGTGGCTCCCAGCCTCAGGCTGCCCCACACCAGCTCTTCCTCCCTACCATGCCTGGTAATATTTGGTCAAGTTCCATCCCTCTCATGTAAAAGCTCTTGGGGGGTCCCCACTGCCTTCATGAGAAAATTCAATCCCCTGGATCCTTTGGTAATAATTTATATTTACTTTTTGGACCCTCATACATTGAATACTCTATTAATATTCTTATTCTCTAACAGAAGAATAAAAGTAGCTACAGGTACTGAATACACACTAGATATGCCATGCTAGACAATCCTCATTGTCCCTGGAGGTAGGTGCCATTTTACAGAGGAAGAAACTGAGGCAAGCAATCATAATGGCAGCCCAGCATTCAAACACAGATCTCAATCTCAAGCCTTAAATCAGACATGTGTTTACTCTGTCTTCACTGAACTGCTTGCAGCTGGTTGCACAAGATGTGCTCTCTGTCACTTCTGTTCACTTGACTATTCCTTTCTTCCTGCTTCAAATGGCACCCTTCTTTGTTTCCCTACCCAAGCGTTACTTTGCTGCCTCCTCTGAGGATCTTTTCCCAGTCTCCCACCTTGTCATCACCAAGTGTGCATGCTGAACCCTCCATCAGCACCCAAATCCTTCCTAGCACCACTATTCCCTGATGGTCCATGAGAGCTGAGAGCAGGGACAGCGTCCTGTTCTGTCAGTGGGCATGCTGAACGAATCAGACTGTCCTCTAAAACACTCAGTAGTGCATATCTCATTCTAGGATTGTAGCATGGTCTTGATAGCTCTTGCTGCCACACACAAGCCCAGACTGGCACCAGTACGGGAATGTGCAGGCCAACTTCCCCAAAGAGTAAGCAGGTTGGTGGGTGGACAGCCACCCTCTTGTTCCATTAGCCTTCCCACCCTCTTGTTCCATTAGCCATGACTCGGAAGAAAATATGGCCCCTGCTGTGCTAAGTATTATCCCCACTTTACCACTTGAGAAGATGCCTCCTAGAGCACTTTTAATGGGCCATCTCCTGGCTGGCTAGATTCTAAAAAATCATGTATTTTATTGCCCCAAAGAATTTACATATTTCGTCCTTTAAGCCTTACTTTGAGAGGAAGATAGATGGTTTCTGAGAGAGTAAGGCTGGGGTGGAGCAGGAATTCTGTGTCATTTAAATGAAAAGTCAGAGTTACACTCTCTCATCCTGGGTTCCTTCACTGCACAGTGAAGGGAAGGTGACTGGGGTGGGCTCCCAGTTCCTAATGGCTCAGTGCTAAGCTTCCAAGCAAGAGTGTTTACCTTCTTTCTGCCTATAAGATCCACCTCATAACTTTTTCTTCATCTCACACCATACTAAGATTTTCCTTAAATGATGTCAGCCTGGCTATTGATAAAGTTGGCATGAAGGTGAAGGGTCAGTAACCATCACTGCTTCTAGCTTCAAAGCATTTCAGAAAAAGGGCACTCTGGCTCTGCATGGTAAGAAGCTGCCTAGCTGGAAAGCCCCCGATCAGGTGTCCTGCACGTGGAAGGCCCGTGCAGCTGGCCCAGCCACCTCATAGGGGCCGTCCAAAGGTGCCAGTGCTCATCTTATTAGTTCATGCACTCCTCTTGCTACAATGAAATGTATAAATATTTGTGAACTCTCTAACCCATTTTTTTTTTTTTTGCCAGGACAGGGTAATATAAGTCAATACTACATTTCCTAAAGATTAGCAGAAGCTTAGGATTATGATAAGCAAATACGACTTGTCCCATGTTGGACTGCTTGAAACCTAGGTCATAATGTTTTTTACAAGAACCACTTGTCAAATTTTCCCGCAGAGTGAGGTCTCAGGAGCCTGGCACGTACCTGTGGGGACGGTGCCCCGGGCTTGGCTGGTGGCCGGCTGGGCTGTGTGCCGCAGACAACTGCCCACTGGGGGGGCGGCCGCCTGGTGCTGGGCCTGGGGTGTGGTGAGGGGAAGGGCTGGCCTCGTGGCAGTGGCTGGGCTGCTCAGGCTTCCACCACCTGGGTGGATCGTTGTGGCCATCCCTTTGGCCAGTGGAGACCCTCCAACAACATTATTCCGGGGTGTCCCAGCCCCTCCTACCGGAGCCCTGAGGAAATAAAGCAGAATCCAGTCAGGTGAAGTCACAGATGAAACCACACAATATAGGCCATCAATAAAGGCCCACTCATACCTCCTGGCTGTGAGAGGTGAAGCCACATAGCCCAGGGCACAAACACTAAAACAATGCTGAGATAATCCCCTAAGCGATGCCCAGAGCTCAAACTTGGCAGTGGGGGACCCTTTGTAAAACCTTCATGGGGGTTCACTTTCAATATAAATAGTTAAGAAACAGCAAAAGAACCCTAAGAACCAGTGATGATCCCAATCAATCAAATATTTTGTACCAGAACTACTGCCTTGATTCATTTTAGTAAACAGCTGTGTCTGTCCCCATATACATCCAGAAAGAGTGACTGAGCTGGCCACAGCCAAGGCTTGGACACATCTGGCATGTGGTGGGATGGCAAGGACCCATCTCCCTCTGGACATGGCCACTTTCTTGTTTCTGCTGGCTTCTGGGAAAGAGCACAGACAAACCACATCCTTGTGAGAGATGACAGGGAACTTGCAGTTTCATACCAGAAATAGATGCCCTTTCACCTCAGTTTCCAGATGAAATGAGTTTCCAGTGTTTAAGAAATACAAGAGAAACACAGCCATTCTGAAAATGGGCTTCAGCCCTTTGACCTCTGAGTACTTGCACCAAACTCACGCACTGGCAGTGAGCGTGAAAGATATGGCAGAATCTGGGAACTCGGAAGCTGCTCTGGGTTCAGTTTCAGGGATCAAATGTCTTCCATTTGTTTAAGATCTGGGTAAACTCCCCTTATGTCCTCTCAGAGTCTCATTCGTGAGGGTCAGAACAGGCACTGCCAGGCCCGTCACCAGGTGGGGGTGCTTCACTCCTTGAGGCTCAGTACCACTGGGCCATGACTTCGGTCAGGGATGGGCTGAGCCACCACTAAGTCAGGGCTTCCGTGAGAAGAAAGGCCTCCTGGAAAAGGACTCAGCTGTCCAGGGACCGACAGCACCTTTCTTTCTTAGCCCCTATAGCTGCCATGAAATTAGCCTCTAGCAAGGAACTCCGTCAGTGAGCCAGTCAAAGCCATGAATTTTTTTTTAAAATTCACATCAGCTACCTGTTGAACTCACTTTTACCCTAGGGAAAAAACTGCAAAAATTGAATAAAGTGGGCTCACAAATTATGGGTCTTTCCAAGAAGGGCCATCAGATGATGTGACAAGCAAGCCTATGTCATGGCCAGCACTGCTCCTCTGGGTGCCCTGGAAAGTATGAATCAGTCTAGTGATCAGTGCAAGGTCTAGGCATTATTTGATTATTTTAATGGAAGTCTTTTCCCCGAGAGAGAAGGAATCCAGGGCTGTGCCCAGGAACGGTTTCCACAACTGAGATTGACAAATGAAATCAACAGTGGACTCCTTATCTTAATGGAAAAATCTCAGACAACTCCAGGTAACCTCTTGAGCAAAATTTTTAATTCCATTATCTGTTTTATAAAAATGATATAACAGGAAATCTGTAAATGACAGGAAAGCACAAGAAGAAAAGTTGAATTACTCTTAATACCATCACTCAATAACAACTGTTAGCTTTTGAGAATATGTTTTTCCCTTGTGTATATACATAGGTGTGTGAGTTTTATGTACACCAGGTTTATGTGTGTGACACACACACACACACACACCAGTTGTACAGACACTGTATTCACAGGCACAGGTACATGTGTGCACACACACACAAGATCTCACTCTCCTGGGGACCTTCCAATTTCACTTTGTGCTGCTGCCCTGAGTCCAGCTCATTCTGCTGGCATCTTCTCCCCTCACAGCCAGTGCCTGCTGAAGGAATGACAAGCAAAACCTAATTCGTAAGGTGAAAAGCTGGCCATGTAGAACCCTTGCTCAAGGGGAGTTCTGAGCTCACGGGGCAAAACCTTGTGGGCAGGGGCACCCTTGCTGACTTCTGGACTGTGTTTTTGGCTTGCCCAGACCACAGCATGATTTTCAGGCAGTAACCAGCTGCAGGGGAATGTGGGTAGTGTGTTCCCCCCTCTCCCAGGCAGCGACACCTGCCTCACCTGGAGACGGGGGTCACGTAGTTTCCTGGGAACACCCCAGACAGTCCAGTCCTCAGGGATGTCCCCTTGAACCAGCCATCCTGACACTTCTCTAGGACGCGGTACATCTCACCCTTTCGCAGCTCCAGCTCGTCGTTCTTCTGGGGCTTGTAAGCATAGAGCGCCAAGTACCTATGGGCAGAAGAGTAGGGCCAAGGATAAATGATGGCTGGGAGGGGTGGTTATAGGCCATCTTGTATCACCTGGGTCACATGTGGGCTCATCTTTGGATGAACCCAAACTAAAAAAGGACTAGCTGATGCCTGTGGGGGCTTGTGCACACCATGCCAAACCTACTCTTTGTGATAAACCATGGTGCAGGGAAGGCGGTGTACTCAGCACTGCTATTGCACACCTAGAGAACCAGGTCCTGAGAGGTACATGCAGGAAGGAGACAGACTTTGCCTCTTGTGCCTAAAACCCAGGTCACCCCACAGCCCTGCAGTGGCTGACCTGGGCAGGCAGGTATGTGATACCACCTTTCAGTCCTATAGCTCAGTGAGCCTCCATGACTCATCCAAGGCTGAGGGATACACCAGAGGATGTGCCAGAACAAGACCACAGGTCTTTGGACCCCAATTTTTTCTTCTATTCTGCATACTATTTCTAAAGCCTAATGTTCTGAGCAAGAGAAAACTAAGAATGAAGCAGTTAAGTCTTGGGCTGGGTTCCCTCATTTCATCTAACTGGGTCCTGGCTTAACCTGCCTGGTCCATTCAATCAGTCTGAGCTGGAAGATACCTCAAAGGTCCTTTTAGATAAAAAGAAGCCTAGTCAGTGAATTATTGGTTGCATTCTTCCTTGTAATATTTGTGCCATGGCTAATTATTTAAATTCTACTTTTCTTTTAAGTCTATCTGAATACAAATGAAGAACAAACTCAGTGGTGTAAATCCTGGCCTAGGGTTTAGAAGTTGTGCCCGTAACAGCCTATGATCCTAGTGACCCATATCACTAGGTATTTGACAACCTCAATATACAACCCCACAGGGCACTTGCAAGGACTGGATACTTGTAAAATGCTTTGCTACTGTGGGCGTTTGGGTAAGTTGGTTTTAAATTGATAGAGAGAACCATATCAGGCAACTATGTTGTTCATAAGAGGCAGGAGGAAGGCTGATGAGGCTTCAGCTCAATGAGAAACAAAAGATGATTTTTAAAGAAATGTCATCTCTTGGATCTCCTACCAGGATGGATGGCTGGGTGGGTATGTTGACCCTTCCCAGGACTGTAGGCTCTAGGGGCTGGAGGACATTCACAGGTCTCTGGGGACCTGAGGGTCATAGACCCCCAGAACACTCTTCTGACCCTGGGAAGGGCCTTCTCAGTATGTGAATACAGAAATGAGACATGACTCACTAGGGTTCAAGCAAGAAGAAAGGAGGACCTGAGTCTCAGAGGGCCAGTGAGGAACATGCTAGAACAGAATGAGAACCTGTAAAGATGTCTTGGCCCTAACATAAAGTAAGGGAAAATAAGATAAAACAACATAAAACCTGCCACCCCTTTCTAATCCCTGACCCTAAACACTACAAGTGCCTCTGTTTCAGTCAATGGAAGCCTTGCCTTCTGTTTATTTTCTTTCTTTACAGGTTGGCACCCTCCCCCCTTCCCTTAGGGATAAAAGGATGGCTTACATCTTTATTTCTCTCTGTTTGAAAAGATAAACATTGGTAACTAGCAAGGACTCTGGGCTTCAGAGAGGATAAAGGAAGCCATCACCAGAGAGGACACTCTTGCCTATCATGGGCGAAAAGATTCAGGTTTTCAGCGCAATGCCTGGGTGACAAAGAGAACCCAGGATATCATCTGTCTGTTTTCACATCTGATGACTCACAGGATCTCTTTGATGGTGACAGAGGAATGACCACAAACAGGAAAGTCACATGACAACTGCATTTGCGCCAGGGAAGCCTGCATGCTCTTTAACCACTTGGGGGCAGCCTCTTTAACCACGTGAGGGGCAGCCTCACGTGGGGAGTTGCAGCTTGGGCTTGGGCAAGGGTAGGCTGAAAACAAGGGGAAAGGGGAAGTGCAGGCTGGGGCCGTGGGAGGCTTGGAAACAATGACAGCGATGCACACCTTTTTGGGCCTGCTCCCAAGCAAAGGTAACTGAAGCATAAATCCTGTTTGTTTGCTTCCTTCCATCTTTTCATGATGTGAGAACAGTCTTTTTGATTCTGTGGCCAGTGAATACACAGTGGCCAGGAGCACAGTGCCAAGCTGGGGGTGCTGTCTCCTTGGGATGTGTGTGTATACAATATGGACCTCAGCAAACAATCACGTTGGTCAAGGAGGGAGAAACTGCATGCTGCCTTTGTTCCCTTCATGACAGGCACTGGGCTCACATCTCAGCTTGGCCAACAGGGTGGGGCACCCACATCTATTGCACCCACTCCTGGGGCCTGTGCAGAGCCTGGAGGCCCATACAAAGTAGTGATGCCACCACATGAGGCCCACCACTGGCCTGTGCCCTACCAGCTGCCTCCTCAACCTTAAGGCCCAGGAGGAGACCAAGTCCCGTGTGTCTTGGGCACAACCTCCTCCTCACCGTGGCCCACTGGCTGTCTGAGGACTGGGCCAGTGGGCCATCACCTAGTGTCTTGGGGTGGGGCTCCATGGTTTTCTGCCCACTTGGACACTGCCTGATGGAAGATCCCTTTTCCAAAGGCCGCTTTCACACACAGAGGTTCAGGGTTGGCTGAGCTCCTCAAGGAGGCCACCATGTTGGAGAGTTTAAATGCCTTGCTCTTCCACTCTTATCTCCCCACCTGTGGGGAAGAATCCTGAGCAGTTAAATCTTCCTATGAGAGGAAGTGGCAGATCATCCTGTCCTCAGCTGGGATCCTGGCAAGAGGCAGCCATCTGCTACCCTGTGGCACATCTACCTCCTAAGGAGGGTAACAGCCAGTGCAGAGGGAGCCCAGTTCAGCCCAAAGGAAGGAGACTACATGTATGCATCTCTAGCTGGGGTTCCCAGAAAACCTTGGATCAGGGAAGCTCTACACCAAGGTGTCCCCCAAATATTCTAAATTTGCACTGACTTTCCGCTCTATCTGGGGCTCTCATCTCTCACCTGCTGTCCTCCACTCCCGACTATACTATATGCTCCACAAGGATAGAGATTTTTGTATGTTTTTTTCACGCTGTATGCCCAGGACCAGAATGCGTCTGGTACATAGTATACTCCAAATAATACTTGTTAAAAGAACAATAAAATAGGGGATCTGGTTTTGAGACTCTGATGAAGACTGCTGAAGGAAAGTGTGTGTGTCTATGTGTGTATCTGCATGTGTGTGGGCATGTACTGAAACTGTCTCATATGGCCCCAAAATCTGCCGGCTGACCTTGAACACAAAAACAAGCACAGAACAAACAGGTACCAGTTTTCCTCATTCAGGAAGTCCATTCAGTACGGAGTTGGGAGGACTGTGCCAGGAGGGGATGGGCACCATGGAGAGGCAAGAAAGGGCAGAAAAGACAGGGCTGCAGGCTGTGGGTATCTAAACAGTGAGGAGAGGAATGAAAAGGAGAAGCAGAGGGTGTACAACAGGGCAAGATGGCAGAGAGAGCTGAGTCCAACCAGGAGAGAGCTGAGCTGCCCTGGAAGAACCTGGATAGACAGAAGCAAGCAGAGAAGGCAGTGAGCCGGGGGAGGGAGGGAAACAACTGAGGCACAAGGCATGCGAAGGGGTGAGAGGTGAGTCAAAGAGGGAAGTAGAAACTGGAGTCAAAAAACTTCTATTAACAGAGTTTCCAAACCAGCTAGTCCAGCCCTTGGGGGGTGAAGGAGCCATCTAAACAGGACACTGTGGGCGGCCTAGACAAAGGTAGCTTTGATAGGGTGGGACTTTCTCTTTGCTCTTTAATCTATCTTTGAAGCCCCTGGGTCCAGGATGACTTCCATGTGCCCCCTGCACTGTCCATCTGTTCAGTGGAGTTTGAAGCTATGGGGTGGGGGGGGGGGCAGGGGACACCTGCCCAATTGTGAGCTGGCCCTGCCAGAGAGAGGATAGACCCCAGGCGAGTGTGTAAGGTTCATGTTGGCACAGCAGCCCAAGGACCAGGACCTGCACTTGCCCACACCTGGCTCAGTGAGTGATGTCCATTATCACCCAACCTCCACAGCAGGAGTTGGATACACACCCGATTTAAAAAAGAAAGCAATGTTACCAAGTGTGACAAACACTCCATGAACCATATGAACTGCCTGGTAGTGATGTTTGTGATCTTGGGGGACTGGACCTCAAATAATTGAAATTTAATTGTCTTTAGGGAAGGAGCCGATTATCCTTCCCTCAACATTTGAGGATCCCCATGCCATTTAGTGGAACAAAGACTTTGCATTCACTTCTTAGCACAAAAGGGGAGTTGAAATGAAAAAAAAAAAAAAGAAAAATGAAGAAAAATTTTAGATTATGAGCTTCAAGCTATCCTGATTAAGACTTTTAAGTCAGAAAAGTCTTCTTTCAAAATTCCATTTTTATTTTAGAGAAACACAGACATGGGTCCGGTGAAATAATAAAAGCAGGAAAATGAGCAACCTAGAGGTGAACATGGCTAAACACTGCTGGTCCACTGAGCGGGGACACCAGTGCCTTCCCCACTGCTGGAATCACGTCCTCTGGCACAGGACACACTGAGAAACAGTGTCACTGCAGTTAGTTTGCAAACATAGACAGACTTGGATTTTATGCCACATCATGCCCCTTCACAGGGCAGGTCTGGATTCTTAACAGTGGGAAGTCAATATTCCTTTCATGGTTTCATGTATTCTACTCAATAAATGCTCAGTGACACAGACACCCCTTGGATGCTAACAATGGGCAGTACAAAGGATGTCATTTCCAGGGATGCCATCACCCCCAAGGGAATGACACACCCTCCCCTTCAAAACACAGCTCTAAACTCTAAATTGTCCCTCACAAACTCTAATGGTATCTTATTTCTAAGTAGCTCATATCTGTGCCTAAGAACAGTGGTGCAGAGCTCCACCCCCACCACAGGCTTGTGGGCCACTGGCTAAGGAAGGACAGGGCAGAAGCACAGAGAACTGGCATCTTTCAGGTGCCAACCTCTCCCAGGGCCTTGCCTAAGCCCCACATGAACTCTGAGGCTGGGATTACCCCTTA